GTTCTGGTGTTTTTTTTTATCTGTTTTGGTTTTGTTTATTTTGGACGCATTGCTTTCTTTACTGTTTGTGCTTTCCTTCATTGTAAGACTCTTGCATTAAGGTGGGGGGAGGAAGAATCTGCGGTAACCGTCATTAGCTCTAAATTGCCCAAATTTGGTCTAGCGAGTTATACTGTTTTTTTACAGGTGGTTAGCTCTCAGTCTCGGCCACGAGCGGATGGTTATTTGTGATTTTTTCTAGTTATGTACCTTTGCTGAATGCTACTTCTATGAATTAAGCCTTCTTCGAGCAAAAAATAAACCCCGATGAAAAATTGGTCAAATTTTTACGAGTGACACATTTTAAGTCTTCGGGTCAATTTCATACCCCCTCCGTCCCGCTAAGATTGTCCCAGACACTATTCACTTGGTCAACACAAATCACTCTTAATCTCTTACTTTATATATCAACTTTTTATCAAATCTGATCCAGGTTTTTGCGACTTTGTAAAGTTTTTAATGTAGTTTTTGAGTATGTAATTATTTTTTTTCTAAAAATAATTTGAGAGCAATCAGGGATCTGTTTGCTTTATGGTCAGTCAAGCATCGTAAACCGAATTGTCCCAATCTTAGTGGGACGGAGGGAGTAATATTTAGAGGACTAAATGTCAACATTATGAAATTGACACATAGACTGTATATTGATAATTATATAATTTCAAAAACAACATAAAGCCAAAAATCTTGAATTGAAAATAAAGTCATATAAATGTCATTAACAAAGCATTGATAATCTATAAATGTGATTTAACATGGACTTAAATCACAAAATTACACAATATAATAGTGAGCAATGAACACATACACTCATATCGTAATCATGCCGAATCACTTGATAATACATTAATACAGAGTAATGTATAAATCATAAGAAAATGTTATATCATACTGTCTCCATCTTTTAAAACTTTTTCATCTTTGACTTTTCAAGACAATAGTTATAAGCTTTGGACAATTATTTTGATTAGCATACTTTTATGATGGTTTCAAATTTTATACTTTTATAAAAGTATTTTTAACAAAGAACATCTACGTACTATTTTTACCACTATTCTAAAAATCGCTCTAGGCGCCCGACCAGTCCCCGCCTAGGCGCTAGGCGGTGGTCGGGCGCTCCGATTTTGGTCTAGGCGCTCCGGCTAATTGAATCGGCGCCTAGGTGATTCGTCGGTCATCTAGGGCGCCTACTTGCCCGCCTAGAGCGCTTAATGGGCCGCCTAGGCGTCTAGATTCATCGAACATTTTTTTTTTGCTTTTTTATTTTAGTATCTAAGAAATATTTACCTTTAACTTTGACAATGCATGTGAAGAAAGCTACTAGTGAGTGAGTAGATACAATATATTATTAAATGTGATAACTCTATCATTCATGCATGTTAATGTTAATGTGTATGTGTGTGTATATATTTTTTACACACACAAACACAACATTACTAATCATATTTGTGCAAAATATTGATACAACTACAATTTCGATGTTTCCGATTAGTCCTTGTCTAGGCGCCCCCTAGCCGACTAGGCGCTAGGCGCTGGGCTGACGCCCGCCTAGCGCCTAGCGCCTTTTAGAACATTGATTTTTACATTATAATTAATGTCCTATAAAAACAATGACTAGTCAAAAATTATTACAACTCATGAGCTAAACATAAATTCAAGGGGGGGTTTGACTTTGCACCCCACTTTTCGAATGATATTTGACTTTGCACCTCATTTTGAAAACGCTTTGATTTTGCACCTCATTCCACTTAATATTCCTTTGACTTTGCAGCTTATTTAGAAATTTTTCTTCACAAATTGATATGTGCTGGCCGGGGTGCAAAGTTAAAGTTTATTGATAATGGGGTGCAAAGTCCAATATCACCCAAAAAGTGGGCTGCAAAGTCAAATTCTCCCTAAATTCAATATATATGAGATTTTAGCTCATATTACACATAAATAAACACACACTAATCAAGAAAATTTATAAACACGTAACATGTATAGCATGCATTAAGATACAAGCCTAGTTTATATGTGAAATCATATAGGTCTCGTGGCAATTTGTTTAGGGAAGGACCAGCTAGGGACCCCTCTACTCATTCGATTTCTAGCATTGGTGATCTGAATTGTGAGACACTGTGATTCGAAGAGATTAGAGACACACAACATGTGAAAAAAAACGTGAGGGCATACCGCGGGTGCCACAGGGGTTAAATGGTAAGTCTGGAATACGAAGCTGACAACTGCGATGACATATTGGTATAAAAATACATAGGGCCTTAACAAGTACTTGAGCCAGAGTCTCACTCGCTATCTGTCAATCTAGTGATTAAAGTTCAATTTACATTTTTGTGAAGACTGTCTAGGCGTCATAGGGGCCTTTCAAAGATGTGGTGTCATCCTTTTTTTATTTGAAAAAACACAATTTCCTAAAATGACATAAATATAAATGAACCAATAATAGCGATCTCCAACAAATAGTATAAACAATTCAAGCATGATGAATATAAAGTCATTTATCATTAAGTTAGTGTGGTTTCCATTCATTTTTATAATTTCAATGAATTTATTGACTTTAACATTCAGTGTATGGTATAATTTATATCGATTATTTTCAAAGTATATACTCCTCCCTCCGTCCTATAAAACTTGACCAAAGATGACTTACACGTATAATAATTTAAATTAAGAACTGTGGTTAGTATTTGTGTTAGAGGATAGAGAAATAATTTTAACAACATATTTATTGCTTTAAATGAAAATAACAAATATTTTTGGAACAGTCAAAAAAGGAAATATGACCATATTTTATGAGAGGAGGATTCAAGGAAGTATATTAATAGTATAATGGAAAGTATCGATATATCAAAATTTTCAAGGAATTCAGTACTTTTCAATACGATATGTGCAATGCCCTGTGGTCTGATGGGCGATGGCAACACTGTGACACTCTCAATGACGAAGTCATATGTGCGAATTTCATCCCAGTTCAAGGGGGCCTTAACATATCAGATACTATAATACAACAACAACAACATCCAAGTCTTAGTCCCAAAAGATATTGGGGTCGGCTAACATGAATCGATGCATGATATCACCACCCAAAAGGAAAAGAAAGAAAATAAAGATAAGCTATTATGAAGAAGATAATATGAAAGGAAATGAATATACCTAAAAATGATAAAATATAAAGGATAAAAACAATGTTTATATATATAAGGATAAAAGGATAAAAAAACAAGAAAAAAATGAGGGGAAAAGATAATACGAGATCACTCCTCCACACGAGAATACCCGCCCTCCACTTTGCTCTCTCCAAAGTCATGCCCTCATCTAACCCAAGAAGAAACATATCACTTCGGACTCCCCTAACCCACGTCTGTTTGAGCCTTCCTCTCCCTCTCTTTCCTGCCTCTTCTCCACACATCTCAACTCGTCTGACAGGTGCATCACTCGGTCTTATACGCACATGACCAAACCACCTTAGGCGCGACTCTCGCATTTTGTCTTCAATAGGTGCTACTCCCAAGTCCCACCCTTTGTATGATTGTCTCATTCCTCACGTGGTCCTTCCTAGTATGCCCACACATCCAACGCAGCATGCGCATCTCCGCCACACTTATCTTTTGAATGTGACATTATTTCACCGCCCAACACTACTCTACGCCATACAGTAATGTCGGCCTAATGGCTGTCCTATAAAACTTATCCTTTAGTCTAGTCGGCATACCTCTATCATATAAAAATCCTGACGCACTCTTCCATTTCATCCAGCATGTTCTGATTCTATGGGATACATCTACATCTAACTCACCGTCCTTCTGAATTATGGAGCTCAAGTAACGGAACATATCGCTGACCGGTATCTCCTTATCATCTAGAGTAATTCCGCTATAACCACTGCTGCTACTCTACCAAACTTGCACTCCATGTATTTTGTCTTGCTCTGACTTAGTCTGAAACCCTTGTTCTCCAATGTTTCTCGCCATACTTCCAACTTTGCTTTAAGACCTGATTGCGTCTCATTAATCAATACAATGTCGTCGGCAAACATCATGCACCACAGTATTTGGTCTTGAATTGACTTCGTAAGTTCATTCATGACTATGACAAATAAGAAAGGGCTCTGAGCCGATCCTTGGTGCACTCCGATAGTAATAGGGAACTCCGCAGTCCTTCCTATATTAGTACGGACACTTGTAGTACAATCCTTATACATATCCATGATGATGCTGATATACTTGCGTGATATGATTTTTCTAGTTAAGACCCACCAAAGAACTTCTCGAGGTACCCTATCATAAGCCTTTTCTAAGTCAATGAACACCAAATGCAGATCCTTGTGAGCGTCTATATACTTCTTCATAAGCTGCCGAAGAAGGTGAATGACCTTAGTTGTTGAGCGACCAAGCATAAAACCGAATCGATTCTCTGAAATCTTCACAGCTCTTCGAAGTCTTTGCTCAATCACTCGTTCCCAAAGTTTTATGGTGTGACTCATAAGCTCAATTCCTCGATAGTTGGCACATTCTTGTACATCATCTTTATTTTTCAATAAGGGGATAAGACTACTCTTCTTCCAACTCCTTGACATCTTGTTGTTTTCCAGATTATGTTGAAGAAACTTGTTAACCACTCGACGCCTCTCTCTCGCAAACTTCTCCACGCCTTGATCGGTATGCCATCTGGACTCACTACTTTCTTCAGCCCCATCTTCCTCAGAGCCTCTTTAACTTCCGTTGTTTGGATCCTTCTCACAAAATCACGATTTACCATACAATCTGGTATGGTCAAATAGAAATTTGCCAAAAAAATAAGATATGACGGGTACTCCAAATTTCCGTATTTTGTAAAAAAGATGGACTAGTAGTTGGCATTTTATACTCCATTTTTTAATACCAAGTACATACTACGTATTTTTTTAGAGTATACACATTACCTGGACATGTTTTTGAACTCGCTTAGAATTCACAAAAATTAAAATAAAATGGAAATGAAATAAAAAAGATAAAAGAAAAGCGCTCCGTATAATCTCTGTGTATGGTTGGAATATATAAATATTTTCTGTATGGTCTGTATACACATTACCTGGTCACCTTCCATGTTCTTGCAAGTTGGAAGACCTGAACTTAGTAAAACTGGATTCTTGAGCTTCAAATTCCACATGAGTTTATCATAATGTAATTTTTTCCAGCTAAAGGTGAAAGCTTTTAACGGATCCTAAGAGAAGCATCGTAAGCCTCCAAATCTTTTCATTTGAGTTCACTCATTTATTCTTAATTAATGACTGTGTCCTTCATGATATTGTTCATCAAGATGGTATTTCCTGATCGAAGAGAGTTTAAAATTGTAAACTTGTTGGTTTAGAGTGTTATTTACTTATAGCTGCAAACCTCTGATGAACTATTTAAAAAAAAAAATTATTCTGCCTTTGTTTGGGATTGATTCTCTAGGTGAAGAGTCGGTCTAGTTGCTAAGTTCTAGGGTTTTTTTTAACAAGAGAGCTATAGGTAGGTAAGTAAGAAGGAGAGGTGCAAAACTTAAGGCAACGGACTCTCCATCTCTAGGAAGATTGTGTCCAGGATCTGGTAATCCAAGTCTTGCTTCTCCTGGTTGACTCGTAGCCTGTGCCAAAGGCAAATATCTCCATTGAGTGGCTGTAACATCTCCGGTTTACAAACTATTACAAATAAAGAAGGCATTGAGTGATTTTTTAGAAGAATGAACTTCATCCACATTAGTTTATAGCTTCGTCAAAAGGTTTATTCTCCGAATCTCCTGTTCGTTGAATCTCTTCTCTACCGCCGAACAAGGGAGTGGCTGAATCACGGGACAGAGGGAGAGGTTTCAGTCCTTAGCAACTTTGCTCTCCACGCCTCTACGATTTCTGATATGGAGTAGTTGGTAAGGTATTTTGTTTTTGTTAGTTACTTTGTTTTCAGTTCTTTGCTCTCCCCCCTTTTTTTAAAATAAATTTGGCCAATAGTTTTTTGGGTACCCCCTCCCATCCTAGTATAAGGAAAAAATCAGTGTTACATAAAAATATTCTTATGTGATAACAAAGAATTAAATCAGCACGGATCAATTTAATTATGCCTTCACTGGTAAACAGATCGAATAATGAGGTCAACATAAAGGTTGGACCCCTTGTTGAACAATATCCATGTCCTACCAGATAAAAGAACAAACGGCATGCCAGTAAGATCTTCACATTCAACTACAATTTCTAAAAATAGGACTTGAGAAATTAATACGCAGAAATGAATGGTCTCCAAGAACTCTCAATACCGGTTTTCAGTATTTTCAGTTTTCTATAAAGATATAAAATAAAATAAAGTATATGGATCATCTATATACCTTCGATATGGTATACAGATTTTTCAATCTGTATATGGATTAATCTATTCAATTTTAATGATATAGCTCACTGATTTTTAACTGACATATTAGAGGAATAAACCAAACTACAAAGAAAAAGATCAATTAAGTTTGATTAATATTATAATGATTTCTCTATTGTAATTGACATGGTCGAAGAAGATACTTTCATGGAGCTCTTGTACGATATGTTGGCTATGAGCAGATTTTAGGAAACTAAGGCCTCCTATTTAATTCTGAACATGGCCTCTAACGTGTCATGACCGGCCCTGTTTACAGTAAATAGTTCTTAGCCAACCCTTTCTATTATATATATTATGTCTTTCTTTCTGAAGGGCGTGTGGTTAAGTATTGAAAAGGCTTTCAGTTCACTACTGAAGCTATTGATAGAGTACAAATGCTAATGGTGATGAAGGTTATTACCTACTTTCGGTGGACTCGGACCCAACAAGTGCAGTCTAATAGAGTTTAGAAAAGGAGAAGTGTAACTGAAGATGATTTTGTAACTTATATTATGGACTCTTATATACAGTCGAGCGTAATGAGTATAAGAAGCCTTCCCCAACTTTGATAGGCATAGCCGCATAGCATTGCAAGCAAATAGAGCAGAGAACAGCTTACCATTTGTTGTTATTTGAGTCATGAGCATGTTGTAGTCAGTCAGTCTTGTTCATCTAAGACGGCGATGGAGCTACTAACATTTTTAACATCCTTTTAAGAGCACTGATTTATCTATTTATTTGGAAATACCAGCATTTTTTGTACAGATTCTTCATAGAATTTTGATGTTGTCAGGCTAACTTCTAAGTAGTTCCATTGTTTCATCTTGTGAACTTATCTTCTACCCTTCCATGTAGGTTCATGTAAGAAAGTGTTCCAACTGAATTAACCTTTTTGAAATGGAGTCGTGCAATTGCATTGACCCACAATGGCCTGCCGACGAGTTACTAATGAAGTATCAGTATATATCGGATTTCTTCATCGCTCTTGCCTATTTTTCCATCCCGGTCGAGTTGATATACTTTGTCAAGAAATCAGCAGTTTTTCCTTACAGATGGGTGCTTTTGCAATTTGGTGCATTCATCATCCTTTGTGGGGCGACACACTTTATCAACTTATGGACATTTGGGATGCATACAAGAACAGTTGCCATAGTCATGACAACCGCAAAGCTTTTGACGGCATTAGTTTCATGTGCGACTGCACTTATGCTTGTACACATCATTCCGGATTTATTAAGCGTCAAAACAAGGGAGCTTTTTTTGAAAAACAAGGCTGCAGAGCTTGATAGGGAGATGGGCCTTATCCGTACACAAGAGGAGACTGGCAGACATGTCAGAATGCTTACTCATGAAATAAGAAGCACTCTTGACCGGCATACTATTCTGAAGACTACCCTTGTGGAGTTGGGAAGGACGTTAGGTTTGGAAGAGTGTGCATTATGGATGCCTACCCGTACTGGACTGGAGCTGCAACTTTCATACACTCTTCGACACCAAAACCCTGTTGGATTTACTGTTCCAATTCACCTTCCTGCCATCAGTCAGGTCTTCAGTACAAACCGTGCAGTGAAGATATCACCGAATTCTCCTGTAGCAAGACTACGGCCTGCTGGGAAGTACATGCCTGGAGAGGTGGTTGCCATCCGTGTCCCTCTTCTTCATCTCTCTAATTTCCAAATTAATGACTGGCCTGAACTCTCAACAAAGCGCTATGCTTTGATGGTCTTGATGCTCCCTTCTGATAGTGCAAGACAATGGCACGTCCATGAGTTGGAGCTTGTTGAAGTTGTCGCTGACCAGGTTTGAATTTTCTTCATTTGTCATATTAGAATATTTCACCTCCCTGGCCATCATAAGTGTTTTTGAATGGTATCCCACATCGCCTAAGTTTGGATTAATGAGCCCCTTAATAAATGTCCGGTAATAATCACCTTTGGGAAGCTATTTTGGTGTTGATTTAGGGTCAACTTATTCTCAGCATTGTATCAGATCAAGTCATGACACAAAGCCATGATGTGGGTGTGCCGCACTGTTCAAATGAAAAAATTACACGAATTAGAGAATGACATGTGCCTCTATGAAGAGTCATTGTCTGGCTGAGGGGGGGAGGGTTGAAATGCATTCCTCATCGGCTAAATATTACCACCTCCATCCCACAATTAACAATGTCCTTTGTTTGACTTAATACGCTTATCAAGAAAGTAAAATTGCATTGTTGGGGTTGATGTAAAAAGCGGAGAAACAATACCAACTTCACAATTGTGTCTTTAACAGAAGTTTGGAAAAAAGTTTTCCAATTAGTAGTAACACCCTTAACCAGCACCACCTCCACCCTTCACCATGTCTTTACACAATTATGGAAAAAAGTTTGGATTCCCAACAAGGGAAGTTAGAAGAAAACTATGGGACAGAGGGGGTAGTTAGTGAATCAATCCCCTTATAAGTTATTTTGGGATTGAGTTAGGATCAGCCTTATTCTTAACAAGCATTAACTTTGTCATCTGATGAGTGCTACCTGACATCAAGAAAGCATGCAGCGCTTTTATGGACACATTTTATGTGTCTTTATTCTGTACTGACCATGTTTGTGGTAAAATTTTGCTTCAGGTTGCTGTTGCGCTCTCTCATGCTGCAATTTTAGAAGAGTCAATGAGGGCGAGGGATCTTCTCGTGGAGCAGAATATTGCCCTTGACTTGGCAAGAAGAGAAGCCGAGACAGCTGTCCGTGCTCGTAATGATTTCTTGGCTGTTATGAACCATGAGATGAGAACTCCCATGCATGCAATAATAGCACTCTCTTCATTGTTACAAGAAACAAAGTTGAGCCCCGAACAGCGTCTCATGGTAGAAACAATTCTAAAGAGCAGCAATCTTCTGGCAACTCTCATCAATGATGTCTTGGATCTTTCCAGACTAGAGGACGGTAGCCTTCAACTTGAGATAGCCACGTTTAACCTTCATGCACTTTTCCTAGAGGTTGGATTGTCATTCTGGAGTTCATGTGTGCTTGTCTTTTTCTTTTTCTTTTTGCCCCTTTTCTCCTTTTTGGGAGAATTACAGAATACATGACCAAATTTATAAATACAAAAATATCATTTTCAACATTTTGTATATAAGTAAAGATAATAGTAAGAGTGTAACAGTAGCAGTAGGTACATTAGTAGTAAAACCCTTCACCAGCACCACCTCCAACCATGGCTTCTAACAAAGAGTGGCTGCTACTATATAGCAGTGCTGGCGCTGGTTGCTACAATTGGATGCTGACACTGATAGTGGGTATTACTATCCATCTAACCGATGTCTCCATCAAATGCGGGTGTGACTATCTGTCTTCACTGCCTCTGCCTCCCAAGATAGTAGCAGTACTGCTACGTGCAGCCACAATAGCCGTCCTTTGAAAAAACTGTCTAATTTCAAGTATAGTGGTTATTTTTGTAAATCAAAATTTGGTCAGGTAGTTTTTTGTATTTATTCTTCTTCTTCTTCCCGTTCACAGTTTAGATGTTTGAGAATGTCTGGTTATTACTGTATGTAGGTCCAGAATTTGATCAAGCCGATTGCGTCGGTTAAGAAACTGTCTGTCAATCTGAATTTGTCTTTAGATTTACCTGAGTTTGCTATTGGTGATGAAAAGCGGCTCATGCAAGTGCTTTTGAATGTTATTGGCAATGCTGTAAAGTTCTCCAAAGAAGGCAGTATATCGATTTCTGCTTTCGTCGCTAAATCTGAATTTTTAAGAGATCCTCAAGCTCCCGACTTCTTCCCGGTGCTAACTGAAAATAACTTTTATTTACGTGTACAGGTCTGTAATTCGACATTATTTCAGTACATGCTAGTATTGAATTATTCACGTCATAGTTTTTCATTTTTATTTTCTTACAAATGTTTTTTTCTGTAGTACAGGTTAAAGATATGGGAGTGGGAATTAACCCTCTTGAAATTCCCAAGATCTTTAGCAAGTTTGCGCAAAACCAAACATTGACCCCAACTAAAAACTCTGGTGGTTCTGGGCTTGGCCTTGCCATTTGTAAGAGGTATGCAAAAGAACATACTTTGGTCTTTTTCCACTCTGATATATATATATATATATATAGAAATGATCCTGTCCAGCAGCCCCCGGTCCGAACGCCGTCCGAACATAGCCATTTGGGGCACATCCCGGTGGAGTTTTTTGCTGTGTTGTAAGAACCGACCCGAACCGCCCGGTTCGGCACGGAATCCGCCCACCCGGCCATCACGCCGGTTCGGTTGACCAGCAAACCGTCCCAAACCCGGGATTTGAGCAAAACATGAAGAAAGTAGTCCGTGGGTTTCGAACTCACGCCTACTGCTAGTATTCGGAACTAGCTGACCAATGTGCTACGCTAGTTAGTTGGTGATATTTTTTTCTTTATTATTATTATACTTTGTATACCTAAAATGTTTTTGAAAGTCTTAATTAATTAGTTAATTACATATTTAATCTATAACAAAAATAAAAATAATAATAATTACAAATCAATGTTATTATTATACTTCCCAATCACGTATGTAGTATGTGATCTTCCAATTTTTGTTATTATTTTGTAATTAGTATTATGTTCATTTTTATTATCTATCTAAATTCAAATGCATTTTAAATTTTGTTAGTCAATAAACTTTAGTCCAATTTTTTTGACATTGCTCAGTGTTTTTTTTATCCCGGAAGGCAAATCACCAAAATCAGTGGGGTAAATGCCGGGAGTCATTTACCGAGATTTATTAATATGTGGAAAAATATAAAGCTGGGGGGGACTGAACTTTACCCAAAAACAAAAAAATTACAACCTTAACGAAGGAATTCCAAAAATATCCATCCAATAGGCTCGTTTGACATTGCTCAGTATTATCATTATTAAATATAATTTTTCTATTTATGAATTTACATCTTTTATATAACTAATTATATATATATATATATATATATATATTGGTGTTGACCGGGTTTACCGGTTGTTGACCGGGTTGACCCGCCGGGTCCGGGTTGGCCCGTGACCCGACCATTCGTCCGGGTCACTCTCCGGTCCGGTTTTTACAACATAGGTTTTTTGATGAAATTTTTTGAGCATGTTCTTCATCAAGTCTAGTTTGTCCATACCAAATTTCAGCTCAAAATTCGATCGGGAAGGCATTCAAATCATTTTTTAAAGCTGACTGCGTTTTTATATGTATATTTTGACGCAGTCAACTTCAAAAAATGATTTGAATGCCTTCCCGATCGAATTTTGAGCTGAAATTTGGTATGGACAAACTAGACTTGATGAAGCACTTGCTCAAAAAATTTCATCAAAAAACTCCACCGGGAAGTGTCCCAAATGGCCATGTTCAGACGACGTTCGGACTGGGGGCTGGTGGACAGGATCATTCCTCTCTCTCTATATATTATATACTTTGGTCTTTTTCTACTCTTATATATATATAATACAAGTATTATATATATATAAAATGGGGTGGGATCACATACAAACTAGTCTTCCCATGCTAACCTGCAAACTGTCACAAACTGTGCATCTTTACATTATTTGTACTGCATATTGAAGTTCAAAGTACTGCATATTATTTGTACTGCATATTAAAGTTCAAAGTGTTGCATATTATTTGTATTACATATTGAAATTCAGTGTGCATCTTTAAATTATTTGTACTGCATATTGTAGTTCAAAGTGTTGCATATTATTGAGTTTGTAGGTTAGTATTTTAAGCATGGTTTGTATTTGATCTCTTATCTATATATTATATCCGTTGAAATATGTTGTTGTGCCAGGTTTGTCAATATAATGGAAGGACAAATATGGATGGAAAGTGAAGGTGTTGGAAAGGGAGCTACTGCTATTTTTATTGTCAAACTTGGAATTCCTGGACTCTCAAATGAACTAAAACCCTCCTTTGGTCAAAAACACCCACCCAATCATGCTCATACAATCTTTTCAGGGCTCAAAGTCTTGCTTATGGATGATAACAGGTGTGCTCCTTTTTAAAAACTTTTGGCAGTGAACTTTTCAGTTATATTCTGCTTCCATTTATATATACCTTAGGGCTCTTTTTGGGCGTATACCTTAGGGTCCTTTATTCAAGAATATGTGCCTTTTTTATAAACGAAAAGTACCGTGGAAATGAATTCTTGAGTAAATGATTTCATACTAGATTTTTTTCTGGTTTACCTTAAAGTTAAGCTGTTCAATTGTCCAATGATTTGCATTTGAGGGATAATAGTCATAATACTGCATATTCATACATAAGCCATTATTCACTGCACAACAAAGGACTAATTTGAAAGGCATAGTATAAAATTAGATTCCTTAATGAGTTATATACTTATACATATATGTATATACTAAGTTACTTATATAAAATTAGGTTGTCCTTTTGCTGTCTTGTCTCTTCATGGAGATGAGTATATGATTAATTCTGCACAATACTGATTTGTTTTACAGTTAACATCTGCACAGTGTCTTACACCGGCCTTCCTCTTTGGTTTTCACAATAGAAAGTTCCACTTATGCTCCTACTAGGATATTCTTCTGTTTCAGCCCGCGTCTTTTAATTTGACCAGCTTTGGTACCCTCGCTAATCACTATTAAAAAGTTTATATTTTTGGTCCTCTGTTAGGGATGTAGTTATACTATATGAACCTAAATTAATTGGCCCGTTGGTCTACATCATTCTCGACTCAATACTTTTCATCTTCGTCTTAATCCTATAACAGTGCCACAGTGGGGACCAAAATCGGAAACCTTTTTATGGCTGAGTACCAAAACTGGTCTGTTTTAAAGAACAGAACAAAAATAATGAGAAAACGCTATAGTTGAAGGACCAATAGTGGCTTACTCTTTTCATGATATAGAATTAGAGAAAAGGGGCAAATAAGCCCACGTACTAACCAAAAAAGGTCAAATAAGCCCTTATATAGGAGGCTCTGTCCGGCCGTCGCCATTTGGGGCGGTTCCCGGTATAATTTTTTAATGAATTTTTTTGAGCATCTTATTCATTAAGTCTAGTTCACTCATACCAAATTTAAGCTAAAACTTCAATCGAGAAGGCATTCAAATGAATTCTTGAAGATAACTGCGCAGTTAAAAGCGCAGTTATCTTCAAGAATTCATTTGAATGCTTTCCCGATTGAATTGTTAGCTGAAATTTGCTATGAGTAAACTAGACTTAATGAATAAGATGTTCAAAAAATTTCATCAAACAATTCCATCGGGAACCGCCCCAAATGGCGACGGTCGGACAGAGCCTCCTATATAACGGCTTATTTGACCTTTTTTTGTTAGTACGTGGGCTTATTTGCCCCTTTTCCCTATAGAATTATTAGTTTTTCCATTCTTGGTCCTTTTGAAAATCGTGTCAATGACAATTTTGGTACCCGTCTAAGAAAATGTTCACTTCTAGTGCTCTAACTATTGTTACATAGACAGTTTTGGTATTCACTTTGAATTTTCTACTTCAATCCTCTTTTTATTGTGATAGTGACACTTTTGAGTTTTGATACTCGTCTTTGATTTGTGCCAAAAAAGTTGGAGCATCAAAAGTGATGTCACAACAGTTGGACAGAAATTGTCAATATCATAATAGGCAAGATAATAAAAGGCGAAAATATTAAAGACGGTACCATAAGAAGTCTTTGTTACACTTGATATATAGGACTAAAAGTAAATACAAAGATGTGTGCCAAAGTGTCATTGCCGTCAAATGACTAAAAAAGAAAAAAAGAACTTGACAACTAGTGTCAATACCTCTTATCCAACTTCATATGTTCTGCAGTTCCTCATATGCATCATGCAGTAACTGATACCATCTCTCTCTCTTTCTAAATCTTTATTTATGATTACCATTGGAACAGTATGAGCAGGACAGTGACCAAGGGGCTACTGGCGCACCTCGGCTTTGATGTAACAACTGTCTATTCTGGAGATGAATGCTTGAGAGTTGTTAACCATGAACACAAGATCGTAATCATAGACATGTCCATGGCAGGCGTAGGTGGATATGAGCTTCTTTCTAATCAGATACATGAGAAGTTCTCAAGACGCCAAGAGAGGCCATTCATTGTTGGCCTAATAGGAACTACAGACCGAGTGATGAAAGAAAGATGCTTGAGGGCGGGTATGGATGGAGTAATACTCAAACCTGTTTCTGTGGAGAAAATGAGAAATGTTTTAACCGGGCTTTTTGAGCATGGGGTTGTACTTGACATGCAGTAGGATAGGAGGAAGTTGTACTTCAAGGATATACTCTGGCAATGATATGAATGCACCTTGGAGGTGTGTATATACGAATTAGCACTCCGGCAATGTGGAGAAGTTTGTGGATCCAACTGTTTACAACTGGAAAATGAAGGTTGGGTGGAAAAACTAAAGGCCCCTTTGATTTGCAGAGAAGCAAGATTTTTCTTCAAGTTATTCTTGGAAGTGTTTGAATCTACTATCTTGGATCACCTTCACTTAGAAACCAAGAGTCCAAGACACCTTTAATTTGTAGATGATGATGCACATAAACTCCTGGGAAGTAGCATTTTCCCGTTTCCAGAACGTGAACGGAAACTCCTACTTTCCAGGTTCAAGTTAGGGAAAAATTTGACATTACCATGTGTTGTTTTTCACGGTCCCCGTTTTTTTGGTTTCCTACAATATAGGCTTCAGAAATGCTTTAAGAAGTCATAAGTCAATGTGCATCAGTACATGCATTTCTCTTCTATGGATGACACATTTGCTCATTCTCGATTTACTTTGTACCACATATATGTATGACACTAATTGATTGTGTATGGCGTGTTGAAGTGAATTTTCACTTTAGTACCGAGGTCTCCATTGATTAGAGCTATATGAATTAATATGGATTTGAAAACTTGTTCATTAATAAACAGAGTATTGTGGTTGATGAAAGGGAAACGTGATGACCCAGACTGAAAGTAACTTCAGATGAACCTTAATGAGCATGAGGAGTTCGAAAGAAGACTGGTAGCGGAGATCCATGTTACAAGCAATGCTGTACTTGGCATGTATGCTGATGGCTTTGAAGTAGCTAACAAACGAGCGATGCTCGGGTAGAGGCTCCGCTTGTAATTTTGAAATATATTTCTGGCAAAACTAAGTGTTTTCACACCTCCCTGAATCAAAGTATTTGGGACACTAATTTTTTATGGTACAACACTAACTTAATATATAAGTTATACTTGGTTTTCTAGTATAAGTCATTCTAGTTTCCCATTAACCAAGTGACCAAGTCCAAAGACTTGAAAATCTAGAGACATTATACTATAAATAGATGGAGTATTGTACTCTTGTATAAAGATTAATGAATGCTATTCTTTCTTGAAACCAGAGATATTCCCTTTATTGATGATTCTGTTCTCATTTTTTAGTAAAACTCTTATCACTCAAGTGACTCAACTGTTAAGAAACTATTTTTTTTTAGCGTAACTGTTAAGAAACTATTTAATTAATGAGAATATTACCCGAAATTAGGGCTGGACTCGGTTCGGGTCGGGCCCGGTTCGGGCCTTGAACCGGCCGGGCCTCGGTTCACCAAAAGGAGGGCCCGGGCCCGAACCGGCAGGTGACCGGTTCCGGGCCGGTTCCGGGCCAGACCGGGCCGGTTCCGGGCCGGTTCACCCGCCCCATTTTTTTTTTTTTTGATTTTTTGGCTTCTCTTATTTAACCCCCTACCCCTCCCCCTCAACCCCAAACCACCCCAAACCACCTCAAATGGCCCAAAATACCTAATCCAACCCAAAAATTAAAAAAATTTCAAAAAAAAAATTAAAAAAAAAATTATTCCGGCCCGGACCGGGCCCGAACCGGCCGGGCCGGTTCACCAAATAGAGGGCCCGGGCCCGGAACCGGTATCCACCGGGCCGGTTCGACCCGAACCGCCGGTGGACCGGGCCACCGGGCCGGGCCGGTTCACACAGTAACCGGGCCGGGCCGGTTCCGGTTCGGGCCGCCCGGCCCGAGTCCAGCACTACCCGAAATAGGACTAAAAAGGTTTGGAAATTCCAAAATAGGACTGCCATGTTTTTATTCCCAAAATAGGACTAATTACTGCCATGTTTTGACAGTACTAGACTTCAAACATGGCAGTATTTTCCAAACTTGGTAGTAATTACTTCTATTTTGGAAATAAAAAACATGGTAGTGCTATTTTGGAATTTTCAAATTGTTTGAGTCCTATTTCGAGAACTTTCCCTTAATTCCGTATATGGATTTAGAGAAATTCACACATCTTTATATAATATAAAGTAATAGTTTTTGCACGATTATTGGAGAGAAAATTCCCGCCTAAAAAGAGGACAAAAAATGTAAATTGGATTGCCTAGAAACCACTAAATTTACAAGATTTGGTACGTACCAAATTTATCATTACCAAATTTACAAGATTGATTGAAATCATTTATAATTTATAGATTCTCATCATTTATTTCTAAACTAACAAATTAAATGGCTAACACTAATAATGATACGTAGTATCTACGGAGTATTATTTTTATAATTAAAGGTAGATTGTTTTTGAAAGCTAGCTATAATGACGCATGTGGTATAACTTAACTTCCATTTTGAGATTTTATTTATATACGGCATCTATATTTTTCTTAATAAATGTAAAAAGATTTGTAATAAAATGAAAGAAATAATGATGATGATGACGATGACGATGATGATAATAATAATAATGATGATGATGATGATGATGATGATGATGATAAAATAATAATAGTAATAATAATAATAATGATAATAATGATGATGATAAAAATAATAATAGTAATAATAATAATAATGATAATAATGATGATGATGATGATAAAAATAATAATAGTAATAATAATAATAATAATGATAATTATAATAATGCTCCCTAATAATAATAATAATAAAATTGATAAATTATGTCTTTATTTTTCTTATCTGATCTAAATGTTTCTGATTTGATCTGATCTGAATTTTTTGATCTGATCTGAATATTTATAATCTGATCTGATCGGAATTTTTCTTATCTAATTTGATTAGATCTGAGTAAAAAAGGAATAAGCAACAAGTAATACGAATAAGATTGACATAACAGATTCTAAGTTATATGAGGAAAAAAGGATCCTTTATAGTAACTTTAATCAATTCAGTCAGAAAAGTAACTTTAGTAATTCAGCGCTACTAATTAAAATTTATGTGTTTAGGGGATATTGGCTGATAAGACCGATAAACCGAAAGGATCATTGGGACTAACTCAAACTAATACCTAAGCTATTTAATACTCTCAATCCCTATATCTGATTTTTTTTGAACACTTATGTATAGATTATTCATGTAGAATCCGTTAAAGTATATGAATTATTCATATGACTTTCGCAAACTTTAAATTGAAGGAATTATGCACATGGATAATCCCAATTATTAACGTTCTTCTAATATTAATTTGAAGTATCAGTAATTCTAATCTTTATACGTAGTATAAAGTAGCAAATTGCTACAACTTTTGGCTCTAATTTTTACCAATATAAAATATATACAAATGGTAATTACTTTGCATTAAATAGGAGATACTCTCGGTAGAATCGTTAATGTATTTTTATACTGAATTAACTTATGTGCATACTATGTTTAATTAGTTAATTTCCATCCACAGAAATCAGTTTGCTCTCAATTTTGTACATGTGATCGATGTCAAATTCTAATTTAATCAACTGATTAAGAATACCACAATTATTGCTTCTTCGTAACTAATTTATGTAATAACATAAATTAGTTATTGCTCTCTTATTTTCCCTTAATTCTGAAGTAGTAATTAATACTTTTAAAATATTGACAAATTGTAATAATATACTCTTACCATATATACTTTCACAACTAGCTTGGTAAATCACTTAGAGCGTGTCTCTATCCTTATTTGACATGATTTTAATGACATGATTTTTATAATATATTCTTATCATATATACTTTTATAGCTAGCTTGGTAAATCAGGTAGAGCATGTCTCTATCCTTATTTGAACTGTCAATGACATTGTGCTTGATATAGTTGAAAAAAACTTATCAAAAACTAATAAGACTATGAAAAGAAGCAGCAAGAAATGTCATGAATGTATTCTTTGTGTTTATCTTGCTCACTTCGCATATGTATCATGTATATTGTAGTATTGGATATGCTATTAGGAACACTAATTACATGCCTTGAAATTACTACAAAATAATAAAATCGACGGTGACGGTAATGGCCACAAGTTTACTGCTACTACTTTCATTTTTTTTTATAGAACTACTAGCTACTATTGTTAACAGATCAAATTTTCAATTAGTTTATGTGTAAACTTAATTTGTATTCATTCTGTCAATTTATTTATTTCTCTACGATCCAACAACATCAATATTTTTACCATCATATATTTTGTATAAATTCTTACTTTTACTAGTAAAATACATCAATTTTTGATAATAACTGTTTATGGACAATTATGACATAAAACCTCATACATTCTGATGTAAAATAACTAAATTTGGACTTTAATTTTGTTATTATTTTAGACATTTTTGCCAAAAATAAAAGAAAGATATAAAAAGAACTTTAATTTGTAACTATGAGATCTTAAAACCCCCGAAAAAGTTGGATCTTTGGATTGTTTGGAAATATATATTTGAATTATTGATGTCACAACAAAAATCATAAAAATAATGATCTTGGATTTTTTTATAAAACAAAGTAGTAAAATTGTAATAATAATTTGCTTCATTATTTTCCCGCCGAAAGTAAAATTTCTTTTTTCTCATTAATTTGGTAAGAAGTCCTTTCTTTCGTTCAGTTGTTCTATTTATATTTATGTTATAATATAGAGTAATAAAACTGTAATAATTGTTGTCTCAAATGTTCATGCCCCAAGCGTGATTATCTATAATAAGTGTCACCTTAAAGAGAAAGGTTGAAGTTCTAATCCAGTAACAAATTATCATTAACTTCCACGCATGATTTTGATTTTTATTTCTATATATTAGATAACATTTACTTCAAATATGGTCATTGTTAAAATTAGTTGTAATTAAAAATACTGCTAATAATAATTCAACTTTGGTAAAAAGCCTCTTTTCTCATGTGTACTATTTGTTTTTATATCTTTGTAAAAATAATATAAAGTACAATAAAGTTACCAAATTTTCTCCAATATTGTTGCCCATAGTGGGGCCTAAAATAAGGAAAATTGAGCCCCCGGTTAGACTGTTAGAGCGCTTTACCTATCATTTCTTAGAAGAGGGTCCGAAGGAGGCTCAATCTTTCACTATTCAGGAGTCAGGGAAATCAAATGCGATCTAAGCAAGACGCCTTGGAATTCCATTCTGTAGGGAAGGAGGACCTATTGAATAAGTCTCCAATCAATCGTAGGCGGGTGTGCGAATTTCTTTCTTTTTTGACTTTAGCCGATCTGATTGTGACTTGGATTAGTTTTCTATCGAATTTCCACTTGGGCTCATTGGTTTCTAATATTAGTTCTTACTACCTTCATGTCACTATCATTGAGACACAAATAGATGTTGAAAAGTAAGTTTATGTGATTAATATTGAACTGATAAAGTAAGAATAATTTAAAACCATACAACTTATTAATTTTGATATGAGGCAATTTTAGTACAACAGATCGAAAAGGAAAATTGAGACGACTTTAATTTACGAGACCTTCTAATAGTTACATTATGTTTAATTCCCATCATCACATACATATAGTTTATTATATTACACCTTATTATTTATTTTAATTTTTACTTCCAATTTTTCATACAAACCAAAATTTATTTTCTTACAACTATATTATATAATG